CAAACGTTTATGAAACCTAAGACGTAAGACAAGAATGCGCACCAACAACCCCGTTGAGCAACAATCAACAGGCGAGACCTACATCCAGCACTTGCTCTAGTGTTATCACAGGCAATCCCTCGGCATACAGAAAGCTGTTCGACAGCAACTGGAAAAAATCGACCGTCTTGGGGAGGGAGGGGGGCATAGATCGGGTCATTCGTCTAACAGTCACAATAATTAGGTCCGGGAATTTGAGCTACCTGCCGCATTAAGTCGAAGACACCAATAATGACAGGTAATAGAGCAATCGGGATTTGCACAGAGGGATAAATTATCGCCCAGTGTTGTCTGCTGGCTACTTAGGCAAATCTCTGATGCGTACAAGACTGGCATTTGATGTGACCCGTAAAAACACCTGTCTGAAGTGGCGATGGTGGTTACTGTTGACTGCAAGAATGACGTCGATCCACCGAGGGTTCAGTGTCTAATTTTCTTACTAAAACAAAGTTGACGCGCTTCGGAAATATCACAAGAAGCTAAAATACATGTAAACTAAATGGTAGCTTAGTCGTCTTCTAAAATGAAGACTAACGCACAGTGTTTACTTATTTGTGTGCCCTTTACGGCAACTCTCTCCCCCCTCTGGTTATGGGCTCTACGCTCCTTTATTGAAGTTCGCTCAAAAGCATATAGCAGTTGTGTGAAGCGCGTAGATGGGTTCGTTCAGCTTTTTCAATCGCTGCGCTCACATTTGTCAGCGGTCGTCTTGACGTTACCCTGACCGCGAATAGGGTTGGCGTGAAAAGAGACAGAGTGAAAAAGACTCAGCGCAAGTCTACCTCGTTAGAAACCAATTATCACACACATCATAACTGCGTTCTCGGTGGAATAACTGTTCGTCGTGGCAGAAGGGGCGAGGGAGCATGTAAATGCACACAACGCGTCTAGGTAAACAAGGTGTAAAAAAGTTGAAAAAAAAACACATCTGTAGAGGATATTGACAGCAAAACAGTTATGCTCAAAGAAAGCGTACGTACTTTTGTAACGGATGGTGTCGAAAATGCACAGAGGGTAGAGAAAGTCGTTGATATTGATGTTCAGCACAACGTGGCAGTCGAAGACAAACAGAACGGAATAGGAGAGCGCATTCCACAGCGGGGTAAGAGCCTTCCGTTTTTGTTTCTCGTCCGTGAATCGTTTTCCAACCTTCGTCTAAGGTGGCGGTGGTGGTGGTGGTCGGAGGAGAAGGAGGAGTAGGGGGAGGAGGCGAGAGATGAAAATAGGTCAGAATTGTTGGAAAAGAATAGGGAAATGGTAAGGGGATATCCTAGCACTTCACTCTTCCACAGAAGCGAAGAAAAAAGTTTTAAAAACGACTGACTCTGACATGGTGCTTGATTCTGGCCCTACTTAACAAAAGACACAGGGAGGAAAACTGCTGTCTGAAGACTAGGGTGGATATCAAATTGTAAAATCAAGAGTGGACGTTATTAGTAATCGGTATTGAAGTAAACGCGTGCACGCTTGCTACTACAGGTTTGCGATTGCAAACCTGGGTTTGAGTATGGCTAGCTGGTAATGACTATTACATGCAGATTAGTGCCCCATTCTTAAGGTCTACGCAAACGGGTGCTAGTAGCAGCCACGGCAGTGGCGCTTCGGTTAGCGAACTCAGCA